CTGTGCTGGCGGGCCCCGCCGCCGCCGTCGCCGGGCCCTCAGCCATGTCGGCCGAAGAGATGGTGCAGATCCGCCTGGAGGGCCGCTGCTACCCGGTGAGCAAGAGGAAGCTGATCGAGCAGAGCGACTATTTCCGCGCGCTCTACCGCTCCGGCATGCGCGAGGCGCGGCGCCCCGAGGCCGGCGGCCCGGAGGTGCAGCAGCTGCGCGGCCTCAGTGCCCCGGGCCTGCGCCTGGTGCTTGACTTCATCAATGCCGGCGGGGCCCGCGAAGGCTGGCTGCTGGGCCGGCCGCGCGACAAGGGCGCCGGGGCGCCGGAGGAGCCTGAGGAGTTGGATGAGGGCGGCCTGCTGTCGGAGTTGGTGGAGGCAGCCTCCTTCCTGCAGGTCACGTCCCTGCTGCGGCTGCTGCTGTCCCAGGTGCGCCTGTCCAACTGCCTGGAGCTCTACCGCCTAGCGCAGGTGTACGGGCTGCCGGACCTGCAGGAGGCCTGCCAGCGGTTCATGGTCGTGCACTTCCACGAGGTGCTGTGCAAGCCCCACTTTCACCTGCTGGGCGAGCTCAGTCTGAAGCAGAAGCTGCGGGAGGACCGGCTGAGAGGGACGCCCGTGTTGGTGGCCCTGGGAGACTTCCTGGGTGGCCCCTTGGCCCCACACCCTTACCAAGGGGAGCCCCCGTCCATGCTCAGATATGAGGAGAGGACGGAGCGGTGGTTCCCTCTGGCCAACAACCTGCCCCCGGACCTGGTGAACGTACGGGGCTATGGGTCAGCCATTCTGGACAACTACCTCTTCATTGTGGGCGGATACAGGATCACCAGCCAGGAGATCTCAGCGGCCCATTCCTACAACCCCAGCACCAATGAGTGGCTCCAGGTGGCGTCCATGAACCAGAAGAGGTAAGCACCTGTGGCATATACTCCCTGGCCTTCCTTCACCTGTTCATTCATTTATTCATTCATTCCCCTGGGCGTGCTGAGGTGGCATTAGCCTCTGCAGGAGGGATGTGGCCTTGACCCTGGTGGAGTGCCCAGTGAACTCAGAACTTCTGTGAAAAGAACATCCCCACCCAACTATCTGAGTAGTGACTTTGCTGATTTTTGCCCTTTTCCAAAAAATGCATTCTTAGCATCCATCCCAATGAGGTGAAGAATGGGAGGTGTCCCCCAAAGGTACTTTAAGAGAAAACTCATCTTGAATTCTGCTTTTATTTTCACCAGTTTCATTATTTTTAGGATCTGAGCTGATGCTCCCAGCAGTAACCTGTGTGGCTGACTTTGGGCGATTTTGTTGTGCTAATGTTGAAGGTTTCTGCACTGGGGTGGCAGTCAGAGACCAGCAGATAGTGGTTAGACTGTTAGGAGGGATATAATTTTGTCTGCTCTCACTTCTTTCCCAGGCAGTGATGTCTTTGACCCTCGCTTGAGCCTGGCGGTGACGAGCTACAGAATCAGCACATCTTCATCCACTCCAGCCACCCCCTTATTCCCCTGTCCCTCTTCAAGTCACCCTCATCCTTCTTTTGAAGGTGGTTGACTTTAAGAAAGAAAAGAAAAGGACTGTGAGAGTTGTAGGGTTAGTATTGAAGAATAGACGTAGAGGGATGGGATGGAATAACTATGGCAGGCCCAGGTGACCCAGAGCTATTCACAAGAGGAGAGAAGAACCTTGTAACCAAGAAAGGATGACAGTGCCCCTTCTGGTCCACCTGCATCCATCTCAAGCCCCATCTTGGTCCTTGTACTGTAGTGAGGAACAGGAGAGGGGGACTCAGCCCTGGGGAATGAATGTTTGGGGGCGGGGGTAAATCGGGAAAAAGGGGAAAATGGGGTGGTGAAGGATAGAACTGAACTTTTTTTTTTTTTAAAGGTTTATTTATTTATTCGTACAGAACTGGGGTACAGGCCAGAGATGCGGAGGGTGAGAGGATTCACCAGAGACAGAGTGGGGTACAGAACAGGCAGATAGACGAGGTGCACTGCTGAAGGGAGCAGCGGGCGGGTCAGGAGAGGTCTGCCGTGCCATGTGGTCACCTCCGGGGCAGGCGGGAATCGAACTCATGCGGAAGTGGTTTAAGCTTCTCTGTGCTGTGCTTTAACCCGCTGCGCCACCAGGGAGGGCCCAGAACTGAACTTTTATCATGAACTTAATATAGAATATACAATGTTGACCATCAGTGATGAACACCTGGACATCACATATGTTATAAAGCATTCTCACTCCAATAAAAACAAACACATACCAAGCAAAGAACATCTTAATGGAAATGGGGAGGCCACCACACATACTGACTTGAACTGAGGGCCCATCAGATGAGGAGGGGAAAATACTGGCTTCATTTCTACTATAAGATCAAATCTATTTTTGGAAAGTGCTCCCCAACCCTCGCCACCAATGTTCAAAAGAATAGATAGTTGTCACAGAGAAAGAGAACGAAGAAACAGGCATCACTCCTACTCTGTCTTAGAGATGGTCCCGTCTACGGTTTGACACCTGTCCGATACCTTTAAAGCTCCGTATAAGAAGTGCCACGTTAACTAAATTCCACCCACTTTAAATAAATTCTAAGAAGGTTCATTGACACTTCAAAGGAGCATTCTGGCTATATGTGTGTGTGGGGGGAGGCCCCACATTTCCCCCCATATCTGCACACGTGTCTCCTTCTATGTTGTCAGTGCTGGATATGGCAGCCTTAGCTCAGGTGCTAATGTCACACCTCACAGCATACTACTATTCTTTGCTCACAGTTCCTTGATTTTTTCCCTCCTTTCCCATAGATACATGAGCACATGCTTCCGAGACAAGTTATTAGTGAAATGAAAGAACTAGAGGATAAAAAAAATGTCTGGACATGTTTATAAATCACAAAATTATAAACATAGTTAAAAAGCTAGAAATATATTGATAGAAATAAAAACACTTTGATAGGGGAAACTTTATGCACCTCCTTCTGGGGGTGAAGATACAGCTTATATTTTTACTCTTAACATTGTTTAGATGGGTTGGCTATTAGGGCCTTTGATACATCTGTGGCTTTTACCCACAGGTATAGATCCAGATCAGTCTTGTGAATGGCTGCGTAGTATTTCAGCCTGTGGATGTACCACAGTGTACTTAGCCCCTTTCTTTTTCATTCAGGTTGCTGCATTTGCCATTATAAACAGCGGTGTTGATTATCTTGGCACATGTATGCCTAGCTTATGAGGCGTGTGTGACTTTGCTTTATGCGGTGAATTCCTGGCCCCCCCCCCCACACAGGTGGAGCAAAGTATTTGTATGTACATTGTACAGTTTAGCAGCTCCTGCCAAATCATCCAGCAAAGTTTTTTTTTTCTGAATTGGCCTCCTGCCAGCTGCGCGTGAGCAAGTCCAGTTCCTGATACTCTTGCCAAAATAAGACCCATTCTTGCCACTTTTTGTTTTTACCAATCTATTGGGCAAAAACACTGGTGTAAATTTGTCTGCTGGACAGAGATTGTTGTTTTCATGGTTATTGGCCATATGAATGTGTTTTGTAAATGGCCTTTGCTGATTAAAAAAAATTGCTTGTTTTTTCATATAATTTTAGGTTTTCTATTTATTAGATCAGTATTACTCTCTTGTCTGTCAGGTCGTTTTCAGATCTTTCCCCCTAAACCTTGACTTTATGGTAAGATTCAAAAATGCAACTGAGTGAGTAGAGGGGTGGGTGGGGTGTTAACCATGAATCCCGGTGCCACCACCTTTGGAGAGAGGGTGCCGCCTTCAGGCCACAGCGTTACTGTGTGTCCAGATACCTGGACTTCTTCAGTGTTGGCAGCTCACTCTGTGAAAAAAAAAAAAAAAATGAACAACACACAAACATTGTAGGTCAAAGTACAGGCCAGCGCTGGCCTGGTGAGACTCCAGTTTTGGACTGCAAGTCTATAGTGTATTCTTTGAAGAAGTTTTACATTTTCTGTAGTCAGATTCATCAGGTGTGACTATGAGCTTTTGATCTTGCATAGGGAAGATTCTCCCATCTAAAAGGATAGAAATACCAGCTGTCTTGTCCGTCTTACTTCTATGGATTTGCCCTTTCACATTTAGATTTGGATCTGTTTGGGATTTATTGCCAAAAAGGTATAATGTCTCAGTGCTTCTGAAATCTTAATCCTTCTCACCGAGGCCAGCCTGCCTATCTGGTCGGCCATCCTTGCCTCAGGAACACGTTTTGAAATTATAATTGCTCATTCACCTAATGTATTTATTGTCTGCTAGAACAAAGACCCTTTTCTTCTGTTTTGTTTTATTTTAAAACTCTTGGCTTATTTTTTACACTTCCTCCTTGAGATATACATTAGAATCGTGCCCTCCCTGGTGGCGCAACAAATTAGGACGCAACACTTCAAGCTGGCCGCTGCCACTTCAGTGCTCTCGATCCCCACTTGGCGCAGCAGACCTCTCCTGACCCGCCCGCTGCTCCCCTCAGCAGTGTACTTCGTCCATCTGCCTGTTCTGCTCCCCACTCTGTCTCTGGTGAATCTTCTTGCCACCTCTGCACCTCTGGCTGGTACCCCAGTTCGGTATGCATAAATAAATAAATCTTAAAAAAAAATAAAACTAAGAGATATACATTAGAATCAGTTTGTGAGGTCCTGTTGTTTTTGATTGGGATTATACTAAGTTTATAAGAGGAGAATTCACAGTTTTTTAAAAAAATATTCTAGAGCTAAAAAATTGCTTTTCCCCCTTTGTATTTGTTTAGGTCTTTTAGTCTTTCGTGAAAGGTTTCTTTTGTTACCTTTATATAGTCTGAACATTTATTGCTAGAGTTATCCTTAGGCATTTTCAAGCTGTATTACTTTTTCTACCTGGGTAAAATTTTCATTTCTTTTCTAATTGATTATTGATGCTGCTTTGGAATTTGTCTGCTTCTTTATCTCACTCATGCTATGGCTCAAACCTGACCTAATCTCTAGCTGGTGTTCCTTTCTTTTATTTTTCTTTTTGAAGATTTATTTAATTATGCATACAGACCTGGGGTAAAGGCCAGAGGAGTGGGGGTGAGGGTACTCACCAGAGACAGAGTGGGGAGCAGAATGGGCTGACTGACGAAGTACACTGCTGAGGGGAACAGCGGGTGGGTCAGGAGAGGTCTGCTGCGCCATGTGGGTCACCTCCGGGGCAGGTGGGGCAGGGATTGAATTCATGCTGAAGTGGCTTTAGCCTCTCAGTGTTGTGCTTTAACCCACTGCGCCACCAGAGAGGGTCCTCTTTTGTTTTTTTAAAGATTTATTTATTTATGCATACAAGAACTGGAGTACAGGCCAGAGGGGTGGGGAGGGGCGTAGGGGGTGGGGAAAATGAGAGGATTCACCAAAGACAGACTGTGGAACAGAATAGGCAGATTGACAAAGATAGACTGCTGTGGGTAAGACAGGAGAGGTCTGCTGCGTCATGTGGGTCACCTCCCTGCCAGGGATCAAACTCATGCTGCAGTGGTTGTGGATAGTTTCATAGCTTCATAGTGCTGCACTTAACCCCTTGCACCACCTGGGAGGCCTGTGGAGTTCCTTTCTGAAGTTGGGCTAAATGAGTAAATCCTACTTTTCCTGCACATGCAGCTTTGAAGGTGAAATTTTCCATTTATTTCTCTGTCTTCCCATTAGGATCTGGGCCTGATTATTAACTGCTTATTTTCATTCCTAAAAATTTTATAAAATTTTTTATTTTGGTGTCCAATGAATGCTTAAAATGCATGGCTTTTTGAAAATATATTTATACTTTTAAATTGTTATAGTAAATTGTATAATTTCATATTCTTCCTATAAGATATAACAGTGAGCACTTTATATTGTACCAGTCATAGTTATTTAGAAAATCTGAAAAGTAATAGGTAACATTTAATTGAACACTTAGGTAACATTTAATTGAACACATACTCTGTATTAGTGCTGTAGTTACAGCTTTTTGTGTGTTATATCATTTATTTGTCCCAAGAATGACATCAGGCAAGTTTCAGTTTTACAGATGTGGAAACTGAGGCACAGAATAACTAAGCCAATTGTTTAAGAGCATATAAAAACTAGAGTAACCTGAAAATACACATCCATTGAATGGTAACAACTATTTACATTGTTTACAAGTTCCAACTTGACCATGAAATGACTATCTTCATGCACATTTTTAATTTAAATTTTTGTTTCTTTAGAATGAACTTTTACATTTTCCAATCTTATTGAGGTATAATGTTAAGGAAGCTTATGGTGTACACAGTGTGTGGCTTGGTACAATCATTTACAGATTGCTAAATGATCAGAAATGAGCTAACACCTCCATCACATCACATCACATAATTACCATTTCTTTTTTGTGTTGAAAACATTTAAAGATTTGTACTTCTCAGCAACGTTCAGGCAGATCATGCAGTACTTAAACGATCACTGTACATCACAGACCCAGCACTTAACACATAACCAGAAGCTTAAACCTTTTGTTAGCTTCTCCCCACCAGCAGCTTGCTAATCACCATTCTAGTCTTTGTTTCTGTGCTATCAGTTTTTTAGATTCCTTCTATAAATGATATTATGTGGTACTATTTTTCTCTGTCTGACATTCTTCACTTAGTGTAAAGTGCTCAGTATCTATCATGTTTTCCAAATGTCAGGCTTCTCTCTTTCTCTCTGGGGTGTGTGTACATGCATGTGTGTACATGCATGCACACACACACACAAGCACATACTGCATCTTTCCTATTCATTCACCTGTTGATGAGGGACACTTGGGTTGTTTCTGTATCTTAACTGTTGTGAATAATGCTGTTGTGGAGATGGGGATGCAGATGTCTCTTTGAGATCCTATTTTCCTTTCCTTTGGATATATATACAGAGTGGAATTGCTGGATCATACTGTAGGTCTATTTTTAATTTATTGAGAACCTCCATACTGTTTTTATCTATCTACCTATCTATGTA